AGAAGCTATTTTAATTTGAACATATATGTAAGTTTTGTGCCTTATTTTTACTTTGACTTATATGTACATGGGGTGGGGTACCATAATATTTCAGTGTTTAGGGTCCGTAGGGGTCTTGATCTGAACTTGAATGGACCAAGGAATTTGCCATCAGCAAACGTTACTTATACATTTCCTGTGAGCTGTAAATGAACATTTACTGAGTATAGTCTGGGTGCTGGGAGTGAGAGAGGTGGGTTAAGAAAATACAGAAAGCAGAATCCTAGGTACCAGGAAGTTTACAGTATAGCTGGGGTGACAGATCACAGGGGAAATGATGGAGATTCATTTACAGGGCTAAATATCAATCAGTGTAGATTGTTTCCATGTGCAGAAAGGCTTCAGCGCTGCCATTGAGATGTGAGAACAGCCTCAGGAGGGTCAACTGCAGAGACTCCTTATAGGAGGCAAGTTCCTACTGGGATTTTTGGAAGTTTAAAGATTTTATTAAAATACATTAAATTTGGCTTTACTTTGAAACAGGATTTCAGTGTGTCTAAAGCTCACTTTATATTGATTTGAATGTAATATTTCCTATAGAAGTGACATAATTTGAAGTTTAGAATTGTGTGTTTGTAACATGCTTTTCATTTTTCTCACTTAAAAAATTGTATCCTCAGGTAAGGAGAAAAAAACTTGTTTACCAAACTACACTTTTAAATGTAAAAGGGGATAGAATGAGAACATATGCATTAAAAAGATTAGAGTAACATCATTTTATTTTATTTTTTTATTATTCTTATTTTTTATTGTTAGTTTCAGGTGTACAGAACAATGCACTAGTTATCCTTTTCACCCTCACAAAGTAACAACCCCCCTCCCCCACCTACTGCCCTCCCACCCCCGATATCATACTTCTCTATTACAATTCCATTGACTCCATTCCCACACTCTAGAGTAATATCATTTTAAACAAACTCTTTTCTTCCTTAAGACTTTCCCCAGTAGTCTTGTCTAAGTATATGTAAAAATGTTGACTCCATATTGATGCCCAGCAAAATTATGCAGCAATTCCTAAGTCCTGTATTACCAGAGGTAGTCATTGTATACTACCTCCGTCCGTATACAAGGAAGAAACTTTTATTCCTTGATGGGTCCCTGAAAACTGATATACCTGTTTAATAACAACAAGCCACAACCCTGGCTCTCAGTAAAATTGTAAAGTTGTGACTCTTTCACTCTCTTCTTCTTCCCCGTCTCCCACTCTCCTCAGATGTTACCATAAAGGCTTGAGGTTACCCCCTCCCAGGTCATTTGCTTTTCCAATAGAAGACTCTGTGGCTTGATGTGTGTTATGTGTATGGCAGGCACTGTCCATATGTATTGGAACACAGATAACGCTGTATGGATGGATGTAAAAACTGGCAGAGAAATGTCTTAAGTGAATTGTCAGGATCACACAAGTAGCTAGGTTTTGGGTCCCAGTGTCTCAGACTCCAAAGCCTATGCTCTTTGCACTACAGCAAAACATTTTGAGACTTAGAATAATAAATGCTGGAAGTTTAGGCTTTGTGCCAGTCCCACAGGAAAAATGCTCTTGGCTGGGAGCATTATCCTGGAGCCCTTCAAATGAGATGAAGTGGATCTAATTAGTCCTACTTACTCATAAGGACAGTTTTGTGTCATTACACCTTCAGTCTTTTAAATACAGGATTATTTGAGGGAGACTTTAATCTTAATGAATTTATTCAACTAAATTTAGTTTAGTGAACATTTATTGAATGCCTGTTCTTTGCTAGGCACTGTGCTAGATGCTGGTGGTACAAGGACAGTCTACTTAGGGAGACATAAATATAATTCGCTGAATGCTATAATAGAGGCATGTGCAAGGGATCATGGGAACATATGAGGGAAAAATTAACTCGAAAGAGGATGTCAGGGAATGCTATATTTGAGAGCTTTGAAGAACAAGAAGTAAGAATTTGCCAGAAGGACAGAAGGAGGTTGATAATTCATTTCAGGTGATGGGAACAGCATGAACGCATGTGTGAATATGCCTGGCATGTTTGGGATATGGTAAGAATGGTAGATTGGAACAGTGGTTACAAAGTCTACCCTGTCCTGCATCTAACCCCTGGCAATGTGATGTTGAAGACCCTTCCATTAAGAAGCAGAGTCTGTTTCCTCATCACTGAATTTCGGTTGATCATGTGACTTACTTTGGCCAATGGACATTAGCATGTGAAACAAGAAGAGACTGGAAAAGTGCGTATGCTCTGGGTCTTCTGTTCTTGGAGCCCTGAGACCATATTGTGAATGAGCCCAGGTTGTCCTGGTGGAAGTAAGAGGCCACCTGCAGGAGCACGGAGGCTCTGGCTGACAATCTGTAGCCACCAGTCATGTAAGTGAGATCATCTGGTGACCAGCCGATCTGTCATCTGACCACAGACGCATGGGAGGGTCACGGGGAAATCAGTTGTCAGCCCAGAAAGAATCACTTAGCTGAACTGCATGATTAGGAACTAAATAAAATATTATTTTAACCACTAGGTTTGGGTTGTTTTGTTATATAGCAAAGCTGATACACAGAAGGTTGAAGTAGAGTGCAGGGAATGTGGGAAGAGATAGCGGCTGCCGATGAAGAGGATTATGTAGCATTTGCAATATCATGTTCAGAAGTTTAGACCTGTTTTGTAGGACCAAGCTTCCCAAACTTCATTGATCAATGTACCACTTTTATCTTTTTAAAAATGTCTGGATACTACTTGAATTAATTTTTATTTTTATTGTCTGATTTTTATATTAAAATTTATTTTAAAAGCAAACTCAATATTAACTTAAAATCCCAGTTTGCTATGTTAATACTACTTTTCTAAACTTACTAAAATATATAGATATTTTAAAAGTTGGTCTGTGTGCTATCAAAAATCAAATTGTATATTATGAGTGCTGCATTCTTGGATGTCCTGCTTTCATCAGTAGGAACCAGGAGCACATGGAGGAGGATAACTTGAAGTGGGGAGGCTACTGCAGAGGTCCATGTGGGACATGGCGCATGGCAGACACCTCCTAAGATGTGTTCCTGAGGAAGAAGAGAAGGGACCTGTGAAAGATTTGATGAATATGCAGTGGGAATGGGAAGTGTGAAGTACCCACTGAGTGGATACTATTGAAAAAAGGAAGAGAAAAAAGTGATAATAGATCTGTTGTTGCACTTTTGGAGTTTGAGGTAGTATATCATTCGGAAACAGAGGTCCACTAGGCATTTGCATGTGTTGGTCTGGGCTTAAAGTGTTATTTTTGAAATTATAAGCATACAAGTGATAGTTGAAATCACAGGAGTAGATAATGTCAACAGGAAGCGTTTAGTACAGAGATTACTAGCACTTTTTTTCCTTATCCCAAAGCTTTTAAGGAAAGAATATGATTTACTCCAGCTAGAAATAGTGAGTGGTCCATATAGGTAATGACTTGCAAATGGGGGTGGAAAGTGTCTCTATAGTTTGAAAAAATATATCACTGAGTGATTTTGATTACTACCCTTCATCCCTTGTTGATATAGTGAATGAGGACAGGGATGAGGAAGAGGAATAAGTTAAAAGGACAGAGTGATCGGGGAAGTAGACCCCTCTAAGAGGGAGAGAACTTTTACGGAAGTGAAGGAACTTTAAGATGAAGGGGCAAACCATGGTACTCAATTCTGCAGAGAAACCCAGTGGTATGAGAGCTGGCTCATTCCAGTATATGGTACATGGCATGTAGTGAGAGCACAGTAAAGATCTGGGCGAAATGATTTTTGTAGAACCCTTTTTGGTTTTGAAACACTCCATAAGCCTTAAATATTCAAGCCAGACAGGATTTGTAATTATACTGCTTTGGGCTCCAAAATCAACGTGGGTTTTAAAAATTTTGTTTCTCTGCCAATGGGCAGTGTCTCAGAAGAGCACCCACTGGGCATTATGTATAGTCCTGATCTCAGTGCAAAGCAGCGTTTGAGGCTGTTTTAAGGAAATAATGTCAGTCAGCAACACTATGGCCACTCCACACGTGGGCCTCCTAACCTTTGCCACCCAAGGCTCCCAGAAGTAAGTTGTTTGCATTATGATGATTTGGGTTGATGGAGTGAATATATTTGACTGGCAGAACAGGAATGCCATCAACTCGTCTAGTTCTTGGGTAATTTTTACACTCATATCAGCAACTTTTATTATTGTTATTTTTAAATGACATACATTTCTTCCAGGCCTTGCCTGCAGCTAAGGAAAGGCCCCAGATCAGGACAGCAGAGCCTCCTCAGACCATGATTTGGTGCCTGTGCATCGTGCTTGGAGCATGCTCAGCAGCACACACTGGTTTGACATCTGGCATTCACGACTCCTGTGAGGTTGGCTTCCCCCTAAATGTGCCCTGAAAGCATCCCTGCTGTGCCCCTTCTGTCCAAGTGTAAACACGTCACAGGAAACGAACAAGTAAAGACCCAACTTTTTCTGAAGGAATCAAAAACCCCTTGCCCAGCTGGACACCCAGGACTGGTGGCCGCTTCAGGGAATTTGAGGAGCCGTTTGGGTAGAGGCTGTTGTAGCACCTTAGTCCCTTTCTCTTTCTAAATTCCCATGCGCTCTGTTCTAAGTTACCCAGCTGAGGAAAATTGCTTTAGGACCCTTATAATGTGAAATAGGGTTGTCTTTCATTGTAGATTCATTAGTGCAGCTGGATTTAGTTATTTACAGTTGTAAATTTGGCACTGTATTTGGTGAGGTAGGGGACTCATTTTAAAATTATTGAAGCAGTCTAAAGCTAAGCCTATAAATAGACATATCCATTTCCATTTGTTTTAATATGAACATAAAATATTAAAATGATTACAGAAAATAGGGACATAATAAGGAAGTTGACACCAGAATAAGAGAGGAAAGCCTTTTCACTTTTCCCTTGCTGTCTTCCCAATTCCAGTTTTTGCTGCAGCCTAATGAGTGCATTTTAAGTAAAATCCATGCACTCTTTGCTCTCTGTCTTCCTACTACTACATGTATCAGCTCAGCTCCTCTCTCTCAGATCCACTTCAAGGAAACACAGATTTGAAAACTCTCTCCCATGGTTTTGTCTGAACTGGCTGCCATTCTGCAGCGCACACTGGATCCAATTGCCGGAGTGGGGGAGCCTGAGAGGTGAGTGAGGGAGGGAGAGCAGACGCTGAGCCGAGTGAGTCAGGCGGGCCTGCGTGAAAGCATGTAGGTGAGCCAGAAACTAATGGGAAAAATAGGGGGTCGTCGCTAATTTTGATGTGGGGAAATCTGAAAGCTCCTTCTGCATGCCAGGGTATTTGAATATTTGGCAAACAGCTGGCTGGGCTCGGGGAGAGTGCCTCTTGATTCGCCTCCTCAGATGTTCAAAGATAACATGAGGCAGCCGGCACGCCAGCACATAGCTCAGAGCCTTGCAGTCAGTTTTGAATTTAGATTTGAATTGTGATATCAATGTCATGGTGGCACATGCTTTGAGAAAGTACTTACAGAGAATAATTGAAAGATTCAGTGTGAAGCTTCTGAAAGCCGTAATTTAAAGTTCCAGAAGCCTCCATATTACTCTCACCATTAAAATTTAAAGTGACAGAAGCCCAATTATGTATAGTTATTTTCTTAAATAAGATCATATTTCTACCCCAAGTGAAAGATTCATTGCTGTCCACTAATCTCTGTCGGGAGAACCAATCTTGTTTGCGTCCAGTGTCAGCAGCGAAGATGGTTCACTTTATCCTGGGGACAATGAAGCGACTCTGGGGAAGCAGCGCGAAGGCCTCCTCTGAGGAGCTGGACTTGCAGGAGGCTGATTTGCATGATAATCACCATTATGGATCCTCTCTGGTGCCAGCCTCCACACTTAACCAAATGCAGTACAACTTTAATAGCAGCTGAAAAGCCGAGTAGGGGCTGTAGCACACATTGTGCAAAACCTGGATGACGTCAAACACCGCTAGTTAAGGGGGGGACAGCTGGTTGTAAAGCTAAAGCACACCACGGGATGGAGACTTGGAACCTAACTTTAAAACGTGATAAAGAATATAACTTGGGAGACTGTTATAAGCTATGAAGCTTCTCCCTCTTTTTTTTTTTTTTTTTTTAAACTCACAGAAGCCTGTTTACCAGGAGGACTTCTGTGGCCTTTGAAACCATGGCATGAAAATATAATAGATCAGTGTTAATCCGGTGCAGAATTTTCTCTATCAGTTAAAAGTGTGGAGCCAGACTTTTAGACTATGAATCTTTCCACCAATTTCTTTGATCCATTTGACTTTATACTATAGTGCATTGTGATTTGGGGAGTATGGTGTAATGGTAGCCAGAATTGCAATGAAAAATTACACAGGGCCAGTCAAGCTTAAGCCACTGTCCCTAGGGTTCCTAGGGATAAAGGAGCGTGTGAGTCAACTAATATTATGATGCACGATGTTGAATGATATAGAGTATATATGCATCAATACTAATCTAAGCAATGTCTTATAAATAATAAACCACATAATTTCTCAAAAGTTTCCCAGTATGATAAAACATTTACAAGTAGGTCTTAGTTCTGCTAACTTTTGTCATGATTTTAGCACAGCCAGCCCTGTGGCAGTTTGCAAGTTTAATTTTTGTCGTCTGGCTTTAGACCTACAACCTGCCCACCTTTTTACAAAACTGATCCCACGATATGAATTCAACTTCTTTTCCTTCATCCTTGCCTGAAATCGTTGTGGCTTTTCCTCTTCCTTCCCTTTTATTCACATCTCAGTAAGAGGCATTAACCTTCACTTGTTGTATATGATTCTATCACTGTGCCTAGACTTCACATTTGACATTTTGTTGGCCGATTCCTTAAAAAAAAAAAAAATCCTTTCCTAAATTCCCTACTGTGTTTCCTTTCTTTGAATTCTTCTTGACTTCTCTACTTACTTGCCTCTGCCTTCTCACCATTCACTCTTTAGCCTGTTTGTTGCCATCTAGATTCAGCCACCACTGAGACCACTTTCTCAAAGACTGCACTCCTACTTGGCAGACCACTTTTTCTCACTGCACAGTAGAAGGAGAGGGACTTACCTAATTGGTGAATTTGTAGTGAATAAGTGGGCCAGCTTAGGTAACTGCCAACTTCCTTCTACCTAGAGAAAGGCCTGCCTACCGAGAGCCCGCATTCTCCCTGCAGCTGGGAGCCCACCCCAGCCCAGCATAGGCCTGGCTTGTGGATATGGCCTAAATTCTGTTGTTTAGGCAGCCATGCTTGTTGGCTTTCACACTAAGCTATGTCCTCCACCCTGGCCTCAGTCAGTAATAAAGGTTATATTTTAGCCTCTCATCTGTTTTATATTTGTATTACTTCTTAACTTGATCAGAACCCAGGAGAGGAAGGGGGTCTCAATTTTTGGGAATTGCTTGGAAACCTAAATACAATGGTGTACACAAGTAAAAAGTTCAAGTGTTCCCTTCTCAATCTCACTTTCCAGAGGCTTGGCTTGGTCTCTCTCTCTCTCTCTCTCTCTCTCTCTCTCTCTCTCTCTCTCTCTCTCCCCTCTCTCTTTCTCTCTCTCTCTCTCCTCCCCCTCCATCCCCCCTCTCTCTCCCTTTCTCTCTTCTCCCTCTCTTTCTCCTTCTCTCTCCCTCTCTCCCTCCTTGCCCCCCACTTTGTGAGGATACAGCAAAAATGTGGCTGCCTGTAAGCCAGGAAGCAGAACCAAATCTGCTGGCACCTTGGTCTTTGACTTCCTAGCTTCCAGAACTGTGAGAAATAAATGTGTTTCATTTCAGTTACCCAGTGTATGTATGGTATTTTGTTAGAGCAGCCTGAACTAATTCTTCCTGATTTTTCTATGCATATGTAAATGTATGTGTTTATAAGTATATAATAGAAATATTTTTACCTGAATATCACATAACAAAAATATACATGGCTATATATTTATACTTACATCTTTCTAAAACATATTTTTGTTTCATATAATCTCACTCTCTATACATTTATTTGTATAGATACAATTGTATTTTTTCCCCAAATGGTAACACACTATACATTTTCTTCTGCACCTTTCGTTTTTCACTGAACACACTCTCATGTCATTAAATAGACACCTATCTTATTTTTCATGGCTTTACAGTGTTCTGTGGTTTGGACGGTCCTTAATAAACCATTCTTCAACTGCTGGCTGTTTAGTTTGTTACACATCTTTTTGTGTGTGTGATTACAAACCATGCTGCAGTGAACCTGGTAGTATTTTTATTTTTGTGAACTTCTGCTAGTGTTTTTGTAGGAAAGATTCCTAGAAGTGGGATTGCTGGGTGTCTCATAAGATTTAACTGACTAATAACAATCATAGGTTGGGAAAGACTCTGAGAGAGCTCAGAGTTTATCTCATACTTCCAGGAAGGATGTTTTCTTCCTGCTCTGACTTTGAAAAGTTCAGAGAATGAGACTCCATATTCTTTTTCAGTAATGCCTTCCAATGGACTTGAAATAGACTGTAAAAGAATTGCAATAGTTACAACGCTCTGGCCAAGTGCGTTAGGAGTAAAAGTGAAAGACTGAATCCTAAGGTAACACTTTGGTGAGCTTGGTTTGTAAACCAATCAAGCAACAACAAGATAAGGATTATCGGAGTTATGGCAGTCTCAGATATTCGGATTAATTTACATTCATATAGTAGAGTAACTTATACTTTTATGCTTTATGTAGAGTAGCAACGGAAGATTAGTTCACTCTGGGTTTCTTAAGTCAGCAAAGCTATCTTCAGGATGGCCCTCAGTGAACTGGCCCCCTTTGAGCTTTGACTCTATCACCAGGAAGCAGGTGACCTATTGAGAGTCTAGTGTCAGGCCTGAAAGAATAGCTGAGCTGTCCTCCTCCTGGATTGTTTTGCTTGTCCCAAGGCTATTTCCCTTGCACAGGGGCATGTGGAAGCCCACTTACAAGCTGACCTAAAAACAAGAAAAAAAACCATGATGCAACTTGACAGAGTTGTGCCATCCTGACTGCTTCAGGTAGCCCCCTCTAAAGCAGGCAGAGTTTGTTTGGAATCTTTGTAACGCTGTGATGACCTATGTGGGAAAACCGTGTGTATTATGGACTTGGCTCTGGGAGCAGCAATGTGCATGACTGTTACAACGTGTACATTTCTCTCACTCAGGGTACACATGGAAGCATGTTTTCATTAGAAACAAATGCAGAATGAGGAGCAAAGACTACCATGTTAAACAGCCAGGAATGTTCACATAATGCGCATATTTATGCAACACTGCAGGAAGGACCAGGCAGCCTGGCTGTGTTAGATCATTTCACTGCTCACCAAAGAGATTTGAAATGGACTTTTAATTATTATTGCTGATATGCTATGGCTATATTCCTTAATATGAACATCTGATTAGGATTAATTTTCTTTAATTGATGAATAGAGCACTTAAACTTGTAGGGTTGAATTTGTTGTTACATACTGGCATATGTACTGTATTGTTGTAGTATTGACATATGTATTATGACTTTTTGCTGGAGTACAAATTATAGGCACTTCTAATCTGTTTTAGTTTTGAGGTCACTGCTCTTCCTTCCTTCACCTTTGTGTGGCTTTTTAGACTTGTTAATGGAGAGAGAGCAGGGCTAAGTGACTATTAAACTCTTTTCTATATACAGTAAAACCCATTAACACAGACCTCACTAAATTTGGAATTGATGATAATGAGGGCAAGGCCTGGGTTAAAGTTTACTTTTGTATTGTCTCTGAATGAAAGCTTTGCTGAGCTAATAAATAGCATAAATACAGTTATAGGAAGATGGCACTATTATGTTCCAAAGCAGTCTTTTGAAGCGCTCTAGAGAAAGACCTGGCAAGAGCAGTAAGGAGGTGGTGTGGCAGAAGGGCACCGTGCAGACTGTGCCGCTTACTAGCTGTGCAACCTTGGACAAGTTATTTAGCTTCTCTGAGCATCTTTTCCCTCATCTGTAAAATGAAGATACTTATCTAATTTATGAGGTTGCTGTGAGGGTTAGATTTAATGTATAGAGAGTGCCTGGTGTGCAGTACGTACTTCATAAATGGCAGGTAATTATTACCTGCCTAAGATAATTGGTGAGCTAATTTTAAGTACTGCTCATTTTTTCACTAATGCAGGGTTCCTCAGCACTGTAGAGTTGTGTTAACCTAATC